CGAGGAATTGGTAATCTTCTCTGACTCAAAAGCGGCCTTAGAGGCAATCAACAACGGTGAAACCAACGTCGCCCCTGCTATAAATGTCCTACTTGAAGGCTTGCACGGCAATGGGAAATCCTGCTTGCTGCAATGGATACCGGGGCACGTGAATATTGAGGGAAACCAGAGGGTGGACTCCTTGGCAAAGGAAGGCAGAGGTGCCGACCAGTCTTGCACCACCATGACGCTTACAGACACAAATGCAGTTTGCAAGACACAGACTTCTGCCCCATTCCTTCAGGAAGCCCCTCATTACTAACTGTGATTGTGCCAGAATCTTAACTTCAACAATTACAAGACTAAGAGCAAACTACTTTAAAGGGATGAAAATTCTTCCCGACAAAATAAGAACTTATATTCCCTGCAAGAACTGCACCGATATCCAATTTACCCCGGATCACATTCTCGAATGCCCAGCCCTTACCATATGTTTTACAACTGGGTATGATGCCACTAGCTTCAGAACTTCGTGAGATCCTCTACAGCATGGGTCACCAAACTTTTTTAATCATCGACCCCTACATAATTTTTCGAAATCTCCATCGACCCCCATAAAAGTAATTTTCTGTTAATTAAGATAAAACTCTATTAGATACTGTGTTTGTACATTTATTTTATGATTTAAACATTTATTGAAGTAATAGAACATTGTGTAACAATAGTTTTATGAAAAATACATTAATGTTGAAATTTAAATACCTTAATATTTATTAAATAATAAGTAATTATAAATAAGTAGAAATAATAAGTAAAGTAACTACAGATTTATTGCTTCTTAACCAATGAGATGAGTGTGCCTGATATTTTTTTGCAAGGTTCGCTATATTGGGTTCAAAATTGGTCAATTTTAATTTTAAATCCCCTCGTAACTCCACGTTTAATTTATTTCTGTACTTAGTTAAGATTGATTAGACTTAGTTAGAGTTAGACTTCATCCATATAGGAACTTGGAAAAGCTAGCATAAAAAGGTTGGGCTATTTCATAAAGTTCTACATATTTTTGCATTACATTTATATTTGTTCAAAATTTACTTATTGTTAAATTTTTAAAAAGCGTCTTTGCTTCAAGATCCGATAATAATTCAGCAAACTCATCTTGCAGGTTGATGTCCACGTTTTTGATGATGCGTTTATTAATTTATGTTCTGTAAAGAAACTGATATTAAGTCAATTATAAAAAAAATTCAAAAATTTTACATACTCAATTAGATATGTAAGCTTTACGTATTAAGAACTGTTTTTTCTTTGACCCCCAATCGACCCTTCCGATTCGGATCGTCCCCCTGGCTCAGATCGACCCCCACTTTTGTTAAATAGACCCCCGGGTGTCTATATAGACCACTTTCGCGACTTCGGCTCTACAGTAATGATGTATTGGAGCTTGCGGATGCAGTTTTGAAGGAACACGAGGCCATTTAATTGTCCATGGACACGATTAAAAAAAAAAATACTTTTTAGAATATCAAAATTTTATTGTGTACGCCAGGCTGGTTTCACAACACACAAATGAAATTTTCATTGTCTAAAAAATATTAACTACCATAATCTTTTTTCATACATCCATTTAAGATGGCTTATCAAAAGCGTACCTTAACCTTATTTTCCATTCCACGCAACCTCCTCTGGTAAGATGCGTAGAATTTTTTAAAAATTGCCTGCTTAGTATGCTGACTGTAGATTTGAAATTTATAATATTTATAAATACTTATAATATTTAATATTGTTGATTACTGGTAGATATGCTAATAGCGTATTTATGTAATTGCGATTTTGATATTTCAAAGAAAATCGATAACTATCCCATTTTTACGAGACTATTGTCCATTAGGTCTCATAGATGACAATGCAAGAAAAAAATCATTCTTTAGTGATGGAGTAGAACTCACTATAATTATCAAGTTACAAGTATCTTTCTTAGTATGTTCTTCGTTGGAAATGCCTAAAAAGGGGATATTTCTCAAAATGTTATGGATTTTCAAAAAATGTTAAATATTTTAACCTTGTAGACTGCATTATAATTTTTAAAATTAAATTTTATTTGCGTTGCTCGCCGTCTAACTTAAGGTGGTAATAAACGTAAGCTCTTCGCACTGCGGGGAAAAGAAAAGAAAAAAAAAGAGAACAGAAAGTAGGCGTTACTGTTTAATGAAAGTTAACCATTGATTGGACGATTCAGTAATGACACCAAGTGTTATTTAAAATGCTAATACATAAATATTCTTAACTCAATCGGGGCATAGGGTACAAATGCACGAAACCCCTGAGCGAGCCACCATCATGCGTGAACTGCAAGGAAGACCACCCAGCCTGTTTCACAGGTTGCCCAGCCAGGCCAAAGAGAAAGCCCGCACCCAGGAGGAGACAACAACATCGAACTCCTGCCAACCCAGTGGCCAGATTTACTCACATCGTGAGAGAACTTCAGGAACTCATGAAAGATGCGGAATTAGTTTCCCTGATCCAGTCCCTCCTCCCACCATCCAAGACTTAGATGAGGAGTTACTGCCAATAATGACGACCACAGATCTTTATCTGTGGAACTGCTAATATTTCTAAAGCCAATAGTCACCGTCGCCTTAGGGCCCATTTTCGATGAAGAAGTGAGGTGCCCGCATTCGCGGGCAGGTACTTCGTCAAACCACCTATCCAAGCCAAGGGGCATAGGGACTTGGTCGCTGCTCTTCATCTTCCTCTATTTGTGGTTCTTTAACTCCTACCATGTCAAATTGCAATTATTTTCTAACAAATTGGAATTGCTCTAGTATGCTTATGCTAAACATAATATAGAATACAGGGTCATTTCATAGACGCAAAGCATGTAAATTATTATTCGCTGCTCAAAATATACAAAATAGTAAAAACTAAGAAAAAAAAATTAAATAAGACGAAACGTGGATTAAAGAGATGTGAAGCTTTTAAATTACAACTTTCCATTAGCTGAATACGTGAAATAATTTGCTATAGTATTTAATAAACATGTTTCACTTATACTATTAACAAACTACAGGATTATAACTTACTTTTACATTTATTTTCTCAGGGTTGCCGCAGAAAAAAATGAATTTGTTGTTTTTAGCAGCCCAAAGCATGAAGATAGTTGCCTAAATAAGAACAAAAATACGATTAAAATTTTATTAAATGACATAATTGTCATAGTATACCATTATTAGGGCTGCAGGTTTGTCGCGGCGCAAATTATTATTTTTATTAAACAGAATTCTTTATTTTCCTGAACCTTAAATTGAACATGTAAAATTGATAAGATAGTTAGGGGAGTGAATCAATAGCAAAATGACTTGAAAATAGTTCAGAGATAATCACAATCTTGTCAAATAAGGTGGTCTTTCTACACTTAGGGAGGGTAATTACCTTCCTGAAGTCAGTAAGAGTACAAAAGAAATTGGAATCACAAAGGAAGGAAAATGTTATAAATCAAATCTTTGACAGAAAAATTGTTATACATGCTATTGCACTGGGCAACGAAATTTCTACTGCCTTTCTACATATTCAGTTAATTTTTCCTAGGCGGCTTCTTGTGATCTCTTAAATATGGATCAGTTTCTTAGATGAGAGGGACTAGTAGTTAGTAGGGACTTGTAACTAGAAGTTTGAATGTAGAATGTTTGAGTTTTACAGCATTTACTTCTTACAAAGCAACGGCCAAGGAATTGCGCGTTGGTGAAGGAAAATTGATCGAGTTTTGGAAATCAAAGGCCGAACGCTCCAAAATTGGCAATTGGATGTTTGTCGGTGCCTAAAAACAGCGTTGACGCAGAAAGATCGTTTTCTAAGTATAAAAATGCATTAAGTGATGAAAGACGAAGCATTAATGAGAATAATCTGACAATGTACAATACTTTGTACCAAAATTCTGTTCATTTAAATAAAAATATTAATATTGCTTGAAATTCAAAGAAATATTTTTGTTGTGTATTTTTAAGCTTTTTTTTATAATTTACGCAATTTCTGTCTTTTGCATCATTTATGTAATAAATTTTTTTATGTTTAGAATTTGTGTAATTTTCAAAATTTCCCGCGATTTTGGGGTGTTTTTTCCCGCTACAAACTTGCAGCCCTAACCATGATCCATTTAGTCAAGTTGGTGACAAACATGATAATTTTCATGAAAACATTAGTGTTTTAGCAATAAGTTTTTACATCAAAAAATTAGTATATTTGCAGAAATTTAAATACTTTTAATTTAATCATTCACAAAAATATTTTTTCACTAAAAAAATTTCAGTTTAACAAATAATTGATTCTGCAAATATATATAAACATATATATATTGTGAAAAGTGATTATTCAAATTCAAAATTCACGCATCGCAATATCGTAGTAAAAATTAGGTTTTTTAAAATCATGCAGAATTTCGTAGCAATAACTGTTGAAAAGGCGATTTAGAAACAAAATAGTTTTACAATGGAATCTGAGCAAATTGAGCGCATTAAAAAGTGATGACTCAAATTTGCAATTCAAAGTTTTTCATTTTATTTACTTAATAAGAAAAAAAATCATTGTGTTTAGAAGCTACCGTGAGCTGCAAGTTGTCAACCAAATTTATGCTAAAAAAAACATCCCTAGGAGCACAGAAAAGTCTCCTTTTCCTGAAAATAGTTGCTTTTTTTTTTTATCCTTTTCAGGCAAAAAAAGTTACCATTGTCGCCTCATATCGAAAATAGTTGCAAATAGTCGCATTTTAGTCACTTGTGGCAACCCTGTTTTCTGTATATTGTAATGATTAAGAAAAACTTGTTCTGCAGAAAATAATTTAGATGGAAAAAAATTTTTTTCATCCATAACATTGAAAAATTTGTGTTATGGAATCCAGGTTCTTCTGTAATTAAAGTAAAATAACAAATAAATCATAGCGTGCCCATATTCCTCTACTAACATTAACACAAAAAATTTAATACAAAATAAAAATGAGTTATGTCAACAAATAATTCAAATATCGTTTTTACAATTTTTTATTCATTAATTTGTTTTTTGAAAGAAAACTACTGATAGCATTAATAATTTAAATGCTAATTATTTTTGAAAGTACAGTTTGGAAATTTTATACACAATAAAAACAAAATAAATTCCAATGAAAATTTTTTCAATAAGTATTCTAAATCTTGAGTAATCATCAGCTGGAAAGATCTTCATCTTCAAGTTCTAAATCATCTAATTCTTGAAACAGGGATTCATCTACTTTAACCTCTTCGTCTCCTAAAACCAAACAAAACTGATGATTAATTGATTCAGTAATTTTCTCTTCCGTTTATCAACTTACTCATGTAATGATTCACTAAATTATTGATTTACTATTCTTTGATTTCCTGACGCTATCTTTTTTTTGTCATTTGTTAAATGTATTGATTCCTTTATTTTTAGAAAAAAATCTGAATTAATGACTGAGAAAAAATCGTTTCTTGTTATTAATTAAGAAATGTTTTAATGAACTGAACTTGAGGAACACGTTTATGATAAACATGGGCAAAACATTTGCAATTAACTCTTGCTGCATTCATTCTGCTCTTTGGGTTTGATAATAACCAAAAAGCTAAAATAAATTTTACAGAAATGGGATATAATTGCTTTTGCAATTTCCTGTGTAATTGCTTTTGCAATTTCTACAAAACACATTTCCTTTGTATCATCCTTTTATTTTTTTTTTAAAGCCAGATTCAGTTTTCAAAAAAATATTACTTCATAAATAAACAAAATCCAAAATCATTATACAATTAAAATATGTCATAAATTAACAATATTTTATTAATATTATCCAGTTTTAGCTCTCTGAAATGCAAAAAATAAACAAAAATTAAAAAACAACAAATATATATAAATACAATATATATAATACAAATAAAAATTTTTAAATAAATTATAACTAAAATGCATAAAAAAAAAGCAGCGGGTAATTTAAGCTGTAAGAAAAGATATTATTGATTTAGTTCTGTAAATGACTTTAAAAGACTCATCTTTATTGATACAGAATTTATTTTCTTCACGCTACTCTGTACTGTCATAGAAATTACAATTATAAAGTGTTGTGAAACACACAAGTTTAAAATAGAGGACTGAACTAGCTAACTATCTTCTTTATGTAAAACTTTATCATCACAGCAACTATGATATATATATATATATACAGTACAGAACCTCTTATCCGGAAATCAGAAAACCGGAACGAAATTCGATACATTTTTCCGCCATTTTAAAAAAAAGAAAAATAAGGTTTTTCCCCCATAAGATTTTAGGATTTTCATTTATTTTTTAAAAGATGTTTTCTTTACCATCAATTCAGAAATAATCATTAGTTCCCTACACCAGGGCTGATTGTGCTCCGGAAAAAATCCGGATTTTCGGAATTTTTGCTAACAGTGATCTGGAAGTTTCCGGAGATCGAAGGTCCAGACGTTTAAAAAAATCATTGATCACAGAAATTTCCGGAAATCAAATTTTCGAAGGTGGACAGTTCACAGTTTATTTTATTTGTTTGTAAGGGAGAGCCAGAGAGATACTTTATAAGCTTATATTCATGATTAATATTCATTTTTTATCAGTAAATAGTTGTTATAATCATAAACTCAAGAAAGAAAGACATATTTGTAAATTTTAATTACTTCTCCAGGTCATCATAGGTATGTGTAAATGGTATAGGTATGTGTAAAATTTTAAATACATTTTAAGTAAACTAAGAAATATTGAGAAAAAGGGAAAAAAACCTTGTTTAAATGTTTTTCTAATTTTTCAATTTAAACTGTTTTTTTTTGTTTGTTTTTTTAACTCAAGAAATTTTCTTGAATTTTGACTTGGGCTCACAATCACCCCTGCTACACTGTCAAGAGAAGTAAGAGTACTTGTACTAAATATCATCAATCATTCCCTTCCTCACCCCCTACATAGTTGTTTCTTTTCAATCATAGCTCAGTGAGAAAGGGTTACTCATTGAATACCTGTTTTCTTATCATTTGGCCCTTAAGTAGGGGGAGTGATCATGTCTGTTGATTGCTTAGTCAAGGAGAGTTAAAACAAATAATTTTATTTGTCTTCTTTGATTCTTAGAAATCTCTGAAAGTACTCCTTACAGCTACTGTAGAATTCCTATTTTTCCTATTATATCTGTGCCCCTGCTTTATTTCCTTTTTCTCATTTTTTAAAAAATTATTCGTCATTTCTGCTATTCCCCCTTTGAACATAGAGACAGCAAAGAAGCAGGGATCAAGGTCAAGTATTGCAACTGCACCCATTTTTCAATTCATTCATTTTCAGGGTTGCCACAGAAAAAAATGAACAAAATAGTTGCTTTTAGTAGCAGAGAGCATGAAAATAGTTGCCTAAATAAGAACAAAAATACGAGTAAATTTTATTAAATGACTTAATTGTCATATACCATGATCCATTTAGTCAAGTTGGTGGCAAATATGATGATTTTTAGATAAACGTTAATGTTCTAGTACTAAACTTTTGTATAAAAAAAAATTAGTATATTTGCAGAAAATTAAATACTTTTGATTACTAGAATTCACTCAAAAAATACTTTCTCATTAAAAAATAAAAAAAACACTTATTCAAAGAAATTTTCCCTTTTATCAATAATTAATTTAGCAAATATGTACTCAAATTCAAAATCCCTGCATCGTAATATCATATTAAAAATTGTGCTTTTTAAAATCGCGCAGAATTTTATTGCAAAAACTGTTGAAAAGGCGATCGAGAAACGAAATAGACTTACGATAGAATCTGTGCAAATTGAAAGCATTAAAAAGTGATGACTCAAATTTGCAATCTAAAATTTTTCATTTTTTAATGTTTTAACTTTTTTAAATTTTATTATTTTTATTTTACATTTTTTATTTTTTAAGAAAAGAAATTCAGGGCTGCAGGTTTTCAACTCAATTTATGCTAAAAAACGTTGCTAGGAATACAGAGAGTCTCCCAATATTCTCCTTTTCCTGAAAATAGTTGCTTTTTTAGCCTTTTCAGGCAAAAAAAGTTGCCATAGTCGCCTTATGCTGAAAATAGTTGCCAAGAGTTGCATTTTAGTCGCCTGTGGCAACCCTGATTTTGAATGGGATGTGAGGAGGGGACAGAACATATATTCTTTTTACTATGTCAGCTTCTGTGTCTGCTTGCCAATTTATGTTTAACTGGAGTGGAGGAGAAATAAAATCACTCAGCTTAATGAGGAATAAGAATGTGATGCATGTGTTTTTCCTTTTGATTTCAATTAATGTTTTAGCGAAATGTTGAAACGAAAGTTAAACTCTCCTAGACAGTAATCGCATGTCAGAATCATGGCGATATTGTCGCAGAACGTTAGAGAGTTTTTTGCAGAAAGATTTCTCCAGTGGGAAGTAAAAAATTTTTAATTTCTTTTCCGCAGAAATTTTCGAAAGATTTTTTTTCATCCAGAATTATATTCAAACGATGTCTTTCTAGCCCATAAAAGGATGGAAAAGAAATGCTTCTGATTTTCCTCTTCTCATTTGAGAATAATGAAGTAAAAAAATTGAGTTTTTCTTTTCTCCAGAAATTTTTGATAGAATTTTTTTTCCATCCAGAATTATGCTTAAATGTTTGTATGTAAATGTTTGTGATTTTTACATTTTCATAATGAAGTAAAAAATAGAGTGGATGGTTTTGAGTCCTGATGCAGACAATGACAAAGTAGAAGAAAGCAAGGAGGAAGATGGGGCCCATCTCCCCTCCTTTTTTCGTTCTAATTTACCTTTTTTGTTCATTTTATATAAAGCCAGTATATATTTTTATTTCATTATTTTTTCCCCTTTTTATCGTATTAAGCTTGCGTGTATTACTTTATTGTTTTTTCTTCTTTTTAAAATTATTTCTAAATATTTATTTTTTATTAGTTGGGTTTGACAAAAAAAAAAAAAAACGGTGTTTTGTAGCGATTCAGAAAACCGGACAATTCAGTTATCCGGAATAGCAATGATCCCAATCGTTCCGGATAATCGGTTCTCTATTGTATATATATACACACACACACACATATATATAGTATGTGTGCTATCGCTTAACTTACAACAGGGTTCCCACTCAATTTCACAAGAAAAAAAATTCCCTGACTTTTCAGGTTTATCAAGTAAATTTCAGTGAAAATACAGTCCATATTTGATCTATACCATGCTATTTTTTCTATCATAAAACTTTTTTTTTTATTTGTAATGCCAAACACTAGATTTCGTGGGGGGGGGGAATAACATAACGGAACATGCCTGTTTAACTAAAATGAGAAATTTTTACATTATTATAATTAATTAATATTATAATTAATATTGATAATTAATTAATATTGTATTATATTAATAATTAATTAATATTATAATTTATGTAAGAATTATTTAACTCCAATCTCAGTAACTGATTACTATCATTGACAATTCAAAGACAGGTTATTTTCCAGAGATAATATAGGAATTTTCAAGATTTTTGTAAAATATTGAAATTTTTCCTGACCATTCTGTGATTTTTTGGACTTAAAATAAAATTCCCAGATAGTTCCAGTATTTCCCTGTTCTTCCTGACTTGTGAGGGGAGGGGGGGGGAGATAATTACATAATTTTTCTTTGAAAATAATTTTCACCATGAAAATTTAACACGTTACAGAGAAAATTATAAAAAACCGAACTAAAAGTTATTCCCTAAAAGGAAATTTTATAGTAGCTTACCCTCTTGCAGGAATTGTAAGTCAGAATCTACAAGTGTTTGATCCTTTTCAAATAATTCACGTCCTGAAAAAAAATAATAAAGTATGTAAGACAAAACAAGATCTTCTATAATGTCACATTTTCAAAATGCTGATAAATTGATAAAACACTATGCTTAAAAGATACATTGTTAAAATTTGCTTATTTAACGAACTTTTAAGGAGAATATGTACTATATTTTCAACAGGGTGAATTATGTATACATTCTGTGTATAAGTTGAGCCCTCAATTGAAGCTTGTTAAAATCAAATTTAATATCCTACATAAAATTCTGTTTTCTAAAAATAAAAGTCAAAAAATAATTTTTAATGCTAACACTGAAGACCTTACCCAGGGTGCATAGCTAAATCTTTCAGCAAAAAAGATAATGCCCGAAATTGAGAATATGTGGACTCGCAAGTATTCCATCAAACATGTAAAGTGATTGGCACTTTGATACGCCATGGACGGATGGTAGGCCGAAATTAATTGTAAAAGCATTGAATAGAACAAGGTGAAAATCACGCTTTTGCATAATATGTTGTGAAAATTCATAAGGTAAAGAAAAAATCACCTTTTAAAAAAGAGAAAATTAAGCACTTTTTAAAAACGCTACGCACCATGTTACCTAATTCAGGTGTAGTGATTTCAAATTAGCCTTGATTAAAAAGCTACAGATTTGTTGGGATGCACGGCACTGCATGGAGGCTTGGAGGTGAGGTGAAACTGGAGCGCCTGACTTCTGAAGATGGGACATTGACTTTTTTCTCTTATTGTGTTTTTCTTTATTCCTGTTCTCTGCTAATCTTATTAGAGTTTGTCATTTTCCTTTTGCTTGTTTTTTTTGTCCATACTTATAAATGTTTCATTCTTTTAAATGTAATTTTTCTTGCAATTTTTTTTTTTTTTTTGCAATTGAGGAGAGCTTTTTTTCTAACTTTAAAATGTATTACTCTTTTCAAGCTTTTATCATTTGGGTTTGATAAAAGCATGATAAATGACGGTTTTTAGCTGGTCCAGAAAACTGAAAAATTCGGACAACTAAAATACCGATGGTCTGGAGCATGCCGGATTACTGATTCTCTACTGTACTTACAAAAAATTACAAGTCCACAAAATTTTTTTTAAAAAAATATTTCACATTGTTACTCCTTAACATAACACATTTGCCCTCAAATAAAGATGAATAACATTATCGTATCTAGCAGTGATGATCCAGAATCTGTAGCTTTATGGTAACTTTTCACTGTGTCTTGAATATCTTAAAATATTCTTTAATAAATTATCTTAACAATTCGTTTTCTTAATTTTATTTCTGTGCATAACATGAAGGGTTTAAAAAAAACATTATATGAAGAAAGAAATGGCAAAATTAATTTTAGTAAAACGTATTAAAAATAGTTTTCGAGAGAGGTAAATTTAAGCAGAGTTATTCATGTCTATCTAACAAGTACCTCATAAACTATTATCAATGCTATTTCAACAACGCTAATCACGAATGACTGATTTTAATATGGGTGTATAAGTCGACTCCATTACTTTCGTGAAATTTTGAGGGTTTGAAAAAACATTATATTTTCTTTACAGGGTGTTTATCAATTTTAAATCAAAACAAATTCTATCTCCTTTGAAGCTTTTTTAAAAGTTATGTATTACAAAAGACTTATTTGAGAACTATGTACATAAATATAGAAAAAAAAATTTTTTAAATATTTTCAAATAAAATAAAAATACAAAAATATAGTAAAAAATCAAATCAGATTTTAATAGATAAACGAGTGACTAACGAAATTTAAAGATTAACAGTTGTGCTCTTACCAGTTAACTTTTTAGAAACAATCTCTTCTTTTTGTAACTTTTTCAATTCAGCCATCTCCTGATCGAATTTAAATTTCCAATTCATAAAAGATTCTACAGTTACTCTCACACCTTCAAACCTTTGCTGTAGAATATAAAACAATATGTTGTTAACAACAAAATAATGAACGTTAAAAATATATTAACAATAGAATAATAAGAACGGTCGAAAAATAAATAATATATTTAAAGACACAGCTAAACAACTAGTATTAAAACCTAATAATTTGTAATTCCTAAAGAACAGAGGATTAAAGACTAGGATTTTTAACCTGTGGTTTATGAATATTGTCCTTACAGCATAATAATAGTGAAAAGTTTAGATGTTCTTATTTAGATCACGTAAAAAAAATTAACTTGGCAAAATTTGGAATAAGAAGCAAAATTGCTTAATATATATACTTTGTGACTGTCTATGAATTCAAAAAGTATATACTAAATATACTTTTTAAATATACTTTGTGAATGCCTAAAAGTGCACCTTGAAAAAAAAGTGAATACAGGTTTTCTTTATTAAATATCCTCCAAAGAAATAACAGACTCTCCTATAAATTGATGACTCTTCAAAAATTTACTTTCAGAAATTTCAAAAAGGCAACTTTTTTTCCTTAATTCCTTTTTTCCATCAGTAGATATAAAACAAACGGGGAAAAAAACATTGCACTTTACATATTTAATTTTACTCTCATAAATATCATAAAATATATTTAATTTTCATGCATATCATGAAAAAGTCAACATAATAACATCTTGTAACCCTTAAATAGGAAGAAGTTAAAAAGCATGCATTTAAGAGGTTAAATAAAAGCTTTCTAAAAACGAAAATAAGCATCTTTAAGCACTTTTTAAAAACGCTGTGCACCCTGTTCTTACAAGAATCACGATATTGAATTTAAAATTGGATGAATATGAATAGCGATACTGGATTTTAAAAACACAAAAATATACATTATGATATCAGATTTTTAAATAGCATAAATAAGAATCACCACATTGGATTTTAAACTCGCGAGAATGCGAGTAGCGATATTGATTTAAAAAGCATGTAAATATGAATTACGATATTGGATTCTTAATTCACTTGAATGCAAGTCGTGTCATACAGGTTATAAATCATGTGAATATGATTCACAATGAGCAACTTTTAAATCAGTTATGTTTGATATTAAAATTCCTTGCGCATGATTGCGATATTAGCAAGTACCAATTTAGTTTCAAATATTAGAAACAGTGAAAATCTGACAAACCCCCAAAAAATAACGATCAAATTGGAGGAAGAATGATATGTACTAAAATGTTTCTAAGCCTGGAGGAATGATATGAAAAATCCAGAATTTTATGTTACACTAGGAATACAATCACCTCAAATTAGAAATTATTAAACATTTAGCTGATCACTAAAGCCCACATTTTGATATTTGCATTTAAAAAAAAAAATTTAAAATTTAGCATATTTGGACTTTNATAGGTGAACAATTTCTAGAACATTGAAGTTAATTTTCTAATTTTGACCGCATTTTTCTGATTTTGTCCCACTGTGCTACATAGGCAATTTTTTTTATATTTTTAAGGGCATTTTTAGAGATGTTTTAAGGGATCAAAACCAGAGCTCTTATGATCACAGAAGATATAAAATGTATAAAACTAAATATTAATTGTTTATAAAATTATTAAAATACATTAACAGGGAGTGTGTTGTTTGCATAAGTGATAATGGTTGTTGGTTGGTGTAAATGGTAATAAATCAACTAAATAGAGAATGTTTTCTTACCCTCTCTTCTTCTTCTAATCTTCTTATTCTTTGTTCTTCTGCGTCTTTTCTTTGCGTTATAGAATCTACCAGTCTTGTGTTTAACCACTCGGATGCTTCAGACACAAGTGTGAATACCATAACCATACCCAAATTATCTTCCACCTGTGAAATATTGCATTCGAAATCAGCACTCATAACTATATTACTAAAGTACATGCCAGTAGTCATTTATATAACTACATAAATGACTAAAGAACAAAAAAAACAAAACAAAACACTGATTAGATGACAAAAGTAAAAATTTTAATCCAAGATGAGAAAGTAAGACTGCTGTTAACCCAATGGCATCCTTTGACAAGTGATGCACTAGTTTTGAATGAGTAAAAAGTGGTGACCAAAATACTTTGCAATCAATCCATTTCACAAAGAGATAATGCATTGATAACTACTACATCCTGCAAATGAGGATGTATTTAGTGAATTTATTACATTAGATTTGATCATTACTCAATTAAAAAAAAAGTTTTATAGCACCAGTTTTTAATTTGTCTGTTTTCTCTTAATTCGAAATTTAAATAAATTGGAATTCAAGTTAGGGGTTCGAGAACATGCATAATGTGGTTGGCATTGGCATTTTGAACAAGTACTGCCAATTAGAGAAATTGTGGCAACAATTTCACACAACTTGCAATCTCTAAATCAGACATTATAAACATTACTAAGAGCTTCAATTATTTAACAACAGAAATTTTAATCAATTATTTTAAATTAACATAAAGTTTCAGCATAATTTCAAATGGGTACAAAAATAAAATGGATAAAATCTCAAATATACTCGGTTTTGAAGAAAAGCTAATAAATCTGTAATGTCGTCATCTGACATATTTTCTGATTCTTCAACTTCCATAAGTGGGGCTTCATCAGGGTAATTGGGAACATACTCAAACTTCAGGGCAACAAACACTAAAATAAAGAAAAGGTTGGTATTTAAAAAAATTTAAATTATTTCTCAAACATAATATTAATTTAACATATGTATAACATTATAAAAATTGTGTAAAATATGAAATATTCACTAAACAATGAATATTTACATTCTTAAAGTTAATACGCAAAAAAAAAACCTCAATAATTGGGTGTATACAGCCATATATACTGCGGATAATTGCAGTTTTTTTAAACCATGCTGCACCACATTCAATTCGTTGTAGTCAAAAATTAAGTGAAAAAGCCAAGTAGTGATTATTTGTGTCAGTGTGGATAACAAGTGTAAGAATTAAAATAAAAATTTTTTTCCATAAAACAATTCTTTTTCTAATATCAAATAGAATCATTCAGATATTTCATTTTAAAGTTCACTTTAACATAACTTTTAAATTGTCTTAAATCAAAATGTTAATGATTTAAACTAAACAAATAAATAATTCAATAAAGCCTCTAAGCTGTTATGTGTAGGACTGTGCTTACTCCCAAATGGTGAATTTAACGCCAGATTGATAGGCACTAATTTATGTGGGAAATCAAGACAGTTGGCGAACAATTCTGACTATTTTCCATCATCAAGTTCTTAATCACAAAATTTTGGAATCTTAATCTCAATGACCACACAAGGCCACTGTGGTGTTTTGGGAATATTTTACCTCTTATTAGATAATTTTTAAGACAAATTTTGAGTCTAATTCCTTACTAAAAGAATTTGGAACCCTTCTAAAATAAAAAAAGTTGTTTTTAAACAAGCTTAACAAACATTTTCAAAAATTTAAAATATTTATAAACACAAAAACTGAGTTTTTTTCCTATCTCTACTTATTAAAGAGATTAAAACATGAAATAAAAAACAAGAGGAGCTAAGGCTAATCTTTTCTAGAATATTTTTATTTATTTATTCCTTCAATACCTCTAAAAGTGACTAGAGTTATCTAATATTGTTATAAATAAAATAATAATAAATAGTGTTAATACTTTTCAATTTCTGAAATTTTGGCTACATTTTGCTAAGTTGCAATTTTTAAGTTATGCATTTTTCATTTCATGCAATAGAAAAACACTCAATGTTAGGGACTTTTAAAACTACCGAGAGAGTTATGGAATTTTGACTACAGTGAATAAGATTTAAATGTTCACAAGGATATAGAATAAGCAATAAATATAATTTATAAGAAACTAACTACTTTATTCCCAAAATCAAAATTACTCACTATATTCTTCATCAGAAGAGTTTCTCAAGGGTTCCGTACGGATATCAACAGTAAAAGAGAATTCTGGATCAACCGTCAAAACTAAATCAAAATCATTAAAATTGAGTGTACTATCAATATAATATCATAAGCAAAAACAGTTAATCATTCTTAAAATAACACAGCTATTTAGCAGCTAGTAAATACATCTGTAAGGAAAAAGATTAAAATACATGAAAGGTAATTTTTATAAATTTATTTCATATACTTAGATATTTTCACCTATTCTTTTTAATCCCATATCTGTTATGAATGAGATATGTAAAGACTTAAACAAATATCTTAAAATAAAGCATAAGGATAATGTATATCCAGAGCCGGATTATACCTTTTGTAGGCCCTAGGCATAGCCGTTTTTGGGCCCTCCCCTCCTTCCCCCACCTTATTCAAAATATATGCTAAATTTTTCTTGCATATNAATGGATATCCAGAGCCGGATTACACCTTTCGTAGGCCCTAGGCATAGCCGTTTTTGGGCCCTCCCCTCCTTCCCCCACTCCTCCCCTCTTTTCAAAATATATGCTAAATTTTTCTGGCATATTTTTTTTACATTTTTATTAATATGGACTTTAATTTACAAATTTGTTTATCGAATTTTATCTGCAATGCCGACATACTGCCGATGTTGTAGTTGATATCGATAATACCATTATGATTATACCAACATAAATCTGCACAAGAAATGTGGAAGGCTCAAATTAAAGATAAACTTGTGAATACTTTTCCTAACATTCACATTGCATTAAGAATATATTTGTCGATTCTTGGATCAAATGCAGAAGGAGAAAGATCTTTCTCCAGATTAAAATTGATAAAAAATTATTTGCGTTCAACAATGAATCAAGATCGTTTGGCATCGCTCGCACTTATGTCTATTGAATACGACATTTTGCGTAGTTTGGAATTCGACAGCATAATACAAGATTTCGTTGAATCCAAAAATCGCAAAAAAGTAATATATTAGATCATAAGATTCTGCAAAATAATTTATTACCGAAAAATATTATATTTTTATTTGTATCTTCATAATTTTGTGCAAAATACACTTGTTGTTTTTAAAGCTAAATTATTTTTGTCAACAAATTTTTTTCTCCCAAGTTTTTCGTAGGCCCCTGAATTTCGTAGGCCCTAGGCACGTGCCTAGTGTGCCTATAGGTTAATCCGGCCCCTTTGTATATCAAAATAATAGGATAGTGTATAACTGTAACACATATCTAAATAAAGCAAAACAACATGAATATAGAACAAATGAAACCATAGAAATGCACATAATATAGTAGTATAAATTTTTCTACTGATTTATTGTATTTATGGAAAAAAGTTCTTGATTACAGAACCGAAACAATTCTATGTTGCAACCGAAACAATTCCTACCAAAACAATACGAAACTATACTGTATTACTCTTTTCAGTATTATCCACTTCTATTGTCTGGATTACTTTTTAAAAAGTTAGGCAAAGATGATTTGAGTAGATTTCTATCCTATATTCATTAAAGATTGGTTACAACCGGGCAGAGGCAGATGAGAAACATTTCAAGGAAAGCATCACAAAAAGAGATCAACTCCGGTAAACCACTACAGAATTGTTTTAAAAACGAATCATTTATAAAAACTTTTGGTAGCTTTTCAATGGTAGTTGGCTTGAACAGATACGGCTACGGAAATATCTCAGTTGCTTTCTTTTTTTAGGTTGAATAGATATTACGGGGGATTATTGAAGGCTCAATATTTGAAATTTCAAGTTTAATTACTCATTAATTTTATTTACTTATGTTCTTTCTCTCTTTAAGTATGTGAGATCGCTGTCTGACTTGGCCATAATCATTTTAAAGGAATTATAAAATAAAGTACCACTTTGTTACTTGCTTGCCTACAGATAGCAAGAACAATGATACACTCAGTAAAGCCAGGCAAGAGAAGATCCAAGTTTTAGTTTTTGGGGCCTATTTTTATGATGAAAAAAATATTTTGCTAAAAATAAAAAGTAATTTCGGAAAAATTTCTTAATAAATCAAAAACATTCAATTTTAGCACTCACTATTTTTCATTGCAATTGTAGTGTAAATCCATATAGTTTTGTCAGCCGCTCAGAATTAATTTCAAACACCATGGTGTTTGAAATTAATTCTGACATATATTTAAAATGCTGTTACAACACGATAATTTCGAATTTGAGCTATCACTTTTTCAAAGCGTTCAATTTGTGAAGACTTCATCAGAGTTCTAAATTGTTTATGAAAGATTTTCGGTATTTTTCACGTAATATTTCAGCATTTTTTGCAGGCGATTGTAGTTTGATCGATATGGAAATATACTCTTCCTTTCGTAAATAAACAAAAAGTACATTTGGTTAAAAATGACGACCAGTTTAATTCCTCAGAGTCCTGGGATTCCAATTAACCTCTGAGTACTATCTAGTGTAAGTAATTTGTTTTACTTCAGGATATTCAACGATCGATAGTACAATTAAATTCTTTCTAACTGTAGCTAGCAACAAATTGTAGCTTTAAATTAAGTATCCTTTTAATTAAGTCAGTAATTAAGTTAATATATGAATCACCATATTAATATTAGAATAAACTAGTCACAATTCACAATCGAATCAGACCACATGAAAAAATACAAATGAATTACCTTTCATTTCACTTGGATAAATCGATTCCAAAGCTTCGATTTCATTTCTTTGTTCTTCCTTGTAATCTGTCATTTTCTTACTCTAGAAAACTTTATACAAAAAGCAATTTTATAATCTGAAAAACATGCAATTACAGCAGACATCCAAAGTTTTGTAAACAATCCATAACAGTTACGGTTAGATTAAATGATAAAAATGAAAATAAAAAGTTTTCAGGCGGTAAGTTTTTCGTATATTGGAAACACTTATACTAGTTTAAAGAGATTTTTAACATAAAAATAAGCAGTACAAAGCGTTCAAATATACAGCCTTTGTGGATTTAGTTAAATTAGATATATAGATGGCGCCATCGTATAATAAATAATTTCAAGTTTGCTTCTAGATGCGAACGTTTTATACTTTACATTTCAATCTATATCAATAAACTAGATTTGTCTTCATCAGTTCTTGAAATAAAAAGATTTTAAATTATTTAATATTAAAGTAAAGTCCAGGTTTTATGTGTATCATTTAATGGATTTAAAAAAATATTTATGGTAATATGGTTTCTAAATATGAGAATCGGCAGTTGCAAAAATTATTTGCTCTATGAACAGTTCAATTTTTTAAAATTTATTTAGCGTAGCTTTAGGAGCATTACCATCTTAGAGATTTCCAGATAATATATTGTGTATTATTTAAAATAAAAATTGCTTAAATAAAGCAAGAACTCAGCAGATCTTTATTTCTAAATTCGATAGATGGCGCTAAATTTAACAACTAAAAATCTTTTTCTTTTTTCTTTCATTATGTTGAATTTTTGTTAGTTTTTTAAATTTTGTATTATAAGTGGTAAAACGGATTGCTTATTTCAAAAATAAATGATAGCAATTTTATTTCATTTAATTTTAATAAAAAATTCAAAATAATACTTAAAATTTCCTAATTTTTTTTTCTATACTGGCGCCATCTAGCCATATAATATGGTATGAATCTGCAATCAGTCTTTATGAGCGACAAAAACCAAATAATGTGTGTTCGTCTGTTAGTCTTTTATTTTTTAAATACAAAGTAGTTAAATATTTCATGATAATTTGTCAGACATTTTAGAGTCATAGTAAAAAAAATGTAAGTGAATAAATACATCAGTGTTAAATTTTCTTACATTCCCATTTAACTTCCTTTTATAATATGCTCTCCTCACCCCACACACGTACACATGTTTCCTCCTTTTTCGTTTTTATTTTATTGGAAACCATATTTCAGCTCATTCATCTTTAGTTGAATAAGCTGATGTATGCATTAATTCTTGAACGGTAAAGCTATGTATGCATTAAAATCTAATTAAGAACAAGAACAAATGCCTCTCCGAACATGTAAATTGAATTCTCTGTTACAAAGCCCAATTTAAAGGCTAATATTAAAAAAGTATATTATGAACAACTTTAATTCTTCATTTATTTACTAAATATTTTTAAAATAAGCAATGAAACTTTGATTAATATTCATTTTTAAAAACAATTAATAATCTTTCGTTGATTAACGAAGGAAAGATTGACAAGTAATAAATATAATGGCAATTGCAAAATTTATTACACCTTAAGTTTTTTGGGATAAGTTATTTTATTTAATGGCGTTTAACTTAAAAGAAGAAAAAGATTGGTATAGGGATTGCGGACAATGGCAATTTATCGCTCAATAATTCATCAGTGTAGAAAATACCGGACAAGTACAAACCTTTCAATGTCATACCTATCCCTGTCTTTTAATTATCTTGATTATTCCGATTACTAACAATAATTAGACGGTGATGTCTATTGATAATCAAACAGAAGAACAGATAGCAAAAGTTATATAGATATATAAAATTTCAAAACTGATTTTATAAAAATAATAGGAAGTTAAATTATGAAATTAAGCAGTCTTGAGAAAGCTCGTCACCACTTTTTAATTTTTCCAGGTTGTGGGTACCATTCATTTAGTGAGGTATCCTAATGCGTACCTTGTGTTTGAAGAAGTCATTAAAAAGACTCCCCCTTTTTTTTTTGAGAAATTAAAAAAGTTGTTTTGATTAAAAACTGCATTGGCTTTAAAAAGAAAAAGATGGTAATAGAAGTCGACACATTCCAAGCGCTCAAAAACCGGAACCCATTCTCAAGACTTGCCAGACGTGGTTGAAGAAAACAAAAGTAATTTGAAACATGAAAAACAAAGTTGCCAACGAAACTAGGAAATAACGATGAAGAACAAGACTAGAAAAACCGTGATATCCGAGTGAAACATAAAAATAAAAATTATAAAACAATATAGGAAAAACAGCTCTGAATGAAAGTGGCAAATCAGGGCCAAATCATCACCTCCTACATCAGAAAGCCTTCACGTGGTTTTTTATAAGTAGTTCGCGCAGACTATTTAAAAAGTGTACCAATTGTGCGCATGAAACCAAATTCTATTTTAAAAATAATTGAGAGAAAGTTATCATATATATGTGAGAATTGAATCTTTGGTGGTTGACAAGTAAATAAGAAAAACCAATTATATTCATAAATTTAAAAAAAAATTAGACGTATATTTGCTCCGGTTATTTTTCTCAGATTTTCTATTGAATAGCTTTTTTGGAAACTAGTTTACCTTCATAATGGTCTGATCGAACTACCTATTAGAAACTGTGTGGAGGCTTTCTATAAAACAGTAGCTTGTTAAGAAAAACCGATAGCAGATTTGATATCAGAGACGCGAATTTATCTTCTCAGTTCTGAACTACCCGCCTTAAAAAAAATTCTAACCTCATATGTTTCTTGATCTTGGTGTAATCTTGTCAGAAAAAATTTAATCGAGATTCTAAAATGCCTCACACTAAATTATTCTAATTTTGATTGGATAACAGCCTTATAATTCACATATTTCGGAGGACACAGCTGAGTAGTGTATATATATTTCAGCTCAGTCTTTTTATGAATATTAAATAAAAAAGATTTTAAAGCATATTTAGGATTTTCCCTCTGCGTCTCCACCTCTTTGACTGTTGAGTTCGGTCAAGAGAAAAGAGGCCTCTTAATTTTTTTTTATACCTTTTAGTCAGCGCCCACTAACATGCATTGATGGTGCAAATAATCAAAATGGTGCAAATGATCAAAACAGGGATGCCAACTTATTACGCTTTTCGTAAAAATTTATTCTAGTGGTTGCAAAGTTGTATTTTTTTTTATTCATTTAAACATATTTTCCACTCCACTTAGATTAAAAGTTCATATGATTTAAAAGTTCATATGTCTATCTCTTTCTTGTTGAGGCTTTTAAAATGTGGGCAAAATTACCAACAATCACATTTGGTGAAAAAGGTTTTGGCTTTTAAATATCTACCACTCTAATATTTTACAAAAAGAGTAATAGTTGGCTGGGCTCAATACAAAAAAAAAAAAAAAAAAAAAAAAAAAAAAAAAAAAAAAAACCAAAGGTTTGTGAGAAACTTAGTGATCCAATTTTTTTTTTATAATTGAAAATTTACACCAATCCTCATGAAACCATGCAAAAATTGAAAAATATTTCGGTCTTTTTAATTTTTTAAGTTGAAAAATTAGGACGAATTCGTTTTTAATAAACTTCTAAGTGAAAAAAATCGAAAAATATTATGTTTTTAATAAATTAATTAGTGAAAAATTGAGAAATCCTTTAATTTTTATAAATTTTTAATTGGAAAAATATCTCTAAAATATCGATTTTTTGAAAGAATTCCATAATTTTTAAAATATATAAGGAATTTGTCAATTTTAAATTCCAGATAATTCTTTATAGCAAAATAGTATACTATGTAGCTTAAATTTAAAGCTTTGCTTCGAAATAAAGTTGCTAAAACTTTCGCTTTTTTTATTCTTTCTGGCGAAAATGATTCGAGGAACGTCTTGAAGTTAAAATAGATTGCCAAAAATATTTACCCAATATACATGTCAATACCCAATAATGAGTTTATTTATTTATTTAAAAAGAAATCATTAAAGAAAGCATCCATTTGTATGAAAATAATATCCTTTCATTTTTCTGCGAATACTATTGTTCCAAAGCGAGAACTTCAATTTTCTTCCATCATAAAATAATCATAAGAAAGATTTAAACATTTTGTTCATTTTACCTTGAATCACGACTGTAATAAGATTTATCTCCATCCATCGGATTTGTTTAGAAGAGAAAGTTATGTGATTGACATGCTTCCTCCGTTCTTCCTTCAACATGTGGTTTTTTAACTTTTGAAAAGAGCTACGCGATTACTAAATTTATCGCCATTTTGGCGATAAATTCAGTAAAGCAGTAGAACACTTTTTTTTCTACACTTTCCTTTTTTTCTCTCTCTCTCTCTCTTTCTCTTGGGATGGGAAATAATTATTAAAGTTTTAATATAATTAGTATAGTTTTAGTATAGTTTAATAGTTATTAAGTAAAGTTTTATTAGAATTAAAGTTTTTATAAATGCGTGATTTTCTCATAATTTATTTAATATACTAACTATCTGGTAATTATATATTCAATATATTAACCAGATAACTTTGTGGTATACTCGTTTGATGGAAAAATTGTATTCATTAAAAAAAAAAAGTTAGCTATTTTTTTTTTCATTGGAATTTTTCTTTCATATGTTCAACAGGCAAATATAAAATAACTAATGTATCATTGATTGAATTTAACTATAATTGAAATTTTCAAAAGTAACTGGTTAAAACAAATGTCGTTATTCCCGAAAACCCTAGGGCTCTATATAGGATATCGCTGCCCTAGGGTTCCGTGGAAAGATTACAAGGGTTCAGAAAGTGACGGTTTTTTTAAATCAGTAATACTTTTTATTTATTTCCAATCAATTTTCCATAATTTCTTTAATATTTCGGTTGTTTATTGAGAATTATGTATGCAAAATTTAAAAAAAAAAAAAACTTTTTTTTTCAATAAGGATACGCTAATCAATAATTACGAAAACGAAAAACATTTAAAAAAGTCAAAGTGTATTTCTCATCGAGGTTTTAAATTTCAAATAAAATAACTAAATTCAAAAATAAAAAATTATGTTTCTCTATTCTCAATGTTCATAACAGTTCGTTTTTAAAAAGCACAGTTCTGCTTACTTAATTCATTTTCAGCATATGCATAGATAAAGAACAAATTCATAACATTAAATTAATTAGTAAATAGTCAATTCTTCATGTAAATTATTTTCCTCTTATAAATATAAATATAACCCGCGTATACGAATAAAATTTAATGGAACCATATCATTTTATATGAAACTAATGTAATTTTATATGAAACTAATTCCTTGCTTAAACGGTTATTTGTTGTTTCCAGTCCTCGCTTAATTGCATTAAAGAGTTTAAAGAAAAAGTATAAAGTATAAAGGAAAAAAAAATTTAAAAAAAGAGAAACATTTTCTTATTATTTTATTACGGTCAGTGGTTACCCATTGGTCAGATGCTTTTTTTTTTTCTTTCCTTCTTGGACTCCGATAAACGCCAAAACATTTCAAATCATGGGTTGCAAAAACTGTCTCAATTGATGTTTGTCGTCGGATTGGTTTTCATATCCTGGCTATATACGTGTTTCAAGACCTCACAAAATACTTTTCCTCCTTCAGGATTCATATTTATAATAAAATCACCGTCAAGTCAGTAAATTATAAGTTAACAAGAAAAAGAACATACAAATACTTTAAATTATTATTATGTAAAAAGAATGACTGCTGGTGAAAATAAAAATAAAAAAATAATTATAAAAAAAGATTATCAAGCAGTAGCGGTCGCCATAGCAACGCATGCAATGACGGCGCATGCGCACTGTTTACTATTACTCTTGAACACAGTTTAAAAGTGTGATGACGTCCAAATAAAGTTCGCACGCCATCAAACCCAAAACAAGACCCACTTTGCCAATGGGTTAAAAAATCTTATTTATTTTTAAGAAAAATGTTTCTTCAACTAGAAGGGGATTTTTATTAACCCCTGTTTAGTTATTGCTCGAAACAGGCGTTATGGTTATAGTTCAAGAATAAATCAAATCTTGCTGGCAATACATTGGAGTAAATTAAGGAGGTTTTACCCCTCTTTAATTCACTCCGCTGACCCATTATTTAGAATAAAAGATGGTGCAGAATGATTTATTTTGCCTTCAAGACTTATGGTCTTCTCCCGGTTCTCCAGCTTACTCACTAGTCTACAGTGTAAACTAAATGAGTAACATAAAGAGCAGTGAACAAACTTGAATAAACTTTGAGTAGGTTACTCTATGAGTACGAAAAGGAATGATTTGAGTTTATAGGAGGGGGAGGGGGAGTTTAGAAAATAATAAATTTAAAAAAAAAATCTAAAACTAAAATTGTTAATTAATTTGGAATCTGTGAAGTTTCGAGGATAAAAAGAATTCTGAGAGCATTCGAAAGGAATACGCAAGTAGGAAAAGAAAGAAAAATATAAAATTTTGATGAATTAACGAACGAGTTTAATAACAGCCTTCAATTACAGATTTTTTCTGGAGGAATAAAATGATAGTACCTATTTTATACTTTTCATTCGAATTGATGTATTTTTATATAACTTTGAATAACATACATATTTTATAATCTTTAATTGTAACTGTTTATTAATCATAAAATTGCGTTTATTTAATTAAAACATTACACCCTGTATAAAATACCACTAAAATGTAAAATTTCGTGAAAATTTAGCATTTAAGATTGAAAAATGCACTCCCCTTTTAATCGAAAAACCAACTCGCTTGTTTGGCTGGAACCAATGGTANTTTAAAAAAAAAAAAAAAACATTTTTTTTTCTCGATAAGGATACACTAATTAATAATTATGAAAACGAAAAACATTTTAAACAGTCAAAGTGTATTTCTCAACGGGCTTTTTAATTTCAAATAAAATAACTAAATTCAAGAATAATGAATTATGGTTCTCTATTCCCAAAGTGTATAACACTTCGTTTCTAAAAAAGTACTATTCAGCTTATTTAATTCACTTTCAGCATATACATAGATAAAGAACAAACTCATAACATCAAATTAATTATTAAATAGTTAATTCTTCGCACAAATTATTTTCAATACATAAACATAACCCGCTTATACGAATAAAATGTAATGGAATCAAGTCATTTTATATGAAACTAATGTTTTATTCCTTGCTTAAACGGTTATTTGTTGTTTCCAGTCCTCTAATAATTACATAAAGAGGTATTAAAATGAAGAAAAAAAATTAAAAAAAAAAAAAACGAGATCGTTTTATTACGATCACTGGTTAGCCACTGGTCAAATGCTTTTTTTTTTTTTCTTTCTTGTTTGACACAGATAAACGCCACATCATTTCAAACCATGGGCTGCAAAAACTGTCTCAATTGATGTTTGCAGGCTGATTGGTTTTCAAATCCTGGTTATATACGTGTTTCAAGATCTCACAAAATACTTTTCCTTCTTCAGTATTCATATTTATATTAAAATCACCGTCGACAGTAGTTATAAATAATAATAAAAAGAGTATGAAAATAATTTAAATTATTATTATGTAAATACATTAAGAATGACTGCTGGTGAAAATAAAAATAAAAAAAGAATTCTAAAAAAAATTATTAAACAGCAGCTGTCGCCATGGCAACGCATGCAATGACGACGCATGCGCACTGTTTACTATTACTTTTGAAAACAGTTTAAAAGTGCGATGACGTTCAAAAAAAGTGAGCACGCCATAAAACCCAAAACAAGACCCACTTTGCCAATGGGTTAAAAAATTTTATTTATTTTTAAAAAAATGTTTCTTCAACTAGAAGGGGATTTTTATTACCCCCTGTTTAGTTATTGCTCGAAACAGGCGTTATGGTTATAGTTCAAGAATAAATCAAATCTTGCTGGCAATACATTGGAGTAAATTAAGGAGGTTTTACCCCTCTTTAATTCACTCCGCTGACCCATTATTTAGAATAAAAGATGGTGCAGAATGATTTATTTTGCCTTCAAGACTTATGGTCTTCTCCCGGTTCTCCAGCTTACTCACTAGTCTACAGTGTAGACTAAATGAGTAAAATAAAGGGCAGTGAATAAACTTGAATAAACTTTGCTCGATGAGTACGAAAAGGAATGATTTGAGTTTATGGGGGGGGGGGGGGTTTNGGGGGGGGGGGGGAGTTTTGGAATTAATAAATTTCAAAAAAATCTAGAACTAAAATAGTTAATCAATTTGGAATTTCTGAAGTTTCGAGGATAAAAAGAATTCTGAAAGCATTCGATAGGAATACGCAAGTAGAAAAAGAAAGAAAAATATAAAATTTTGATGAATTGACGAACGAGTTCAAAAACAGCCATCAATTACAGATTTTTTCGAAAGGAATAAAATAATAGTACCTATTTTATACTTGTCATTCGAATTGATGTGTTTTTATATAACTTTGAATAACATAGATATTTTATGATCCTTAATTGTAACTGTTTATTAATCATAAAATTGCGTTTATTTAATTAAAACATTACACCCTGTATAAAATACCACTAAAATGTAAAATTTCGTAAAAATTTAGCATTTAAGATTGAATAATGCACTCCCCTTTTAATCGAACAACCATCCCGCTTAATTGAATAGAGTTGGCTGGAACCAATGGTATTCCTTTAAGCGAGGTTGACGTGTCAACGGTGAATGTCAACAATCATATTTGGTGAATGTCCGAAATATTTGTTATATCCGATTAATACTAATGCATTCGTTGATATATTAATATTTATTCGATATTTTAATATCTGCTGAGGATAGATTAGAAGAAACATCAGTGTTCGGAGTACCGGTTACATGCATATAGGGCAGTGACACTTGATTTTTTAAAAAAAACATTGATGTAGGGCATACCGGGCAATTTTTACCGGGCAGTGGCATTGAACCTTAAAAAAATATTGATGTAGGGCACTTAACTAGACCTAGTATATGTTTCGGACATTTACCTATATATTCACAGCTGCTATTGAGCATGATTTTTTTATAATGATGGAGTTCCGCCAAAAGGGTTTCATAGTATAATAAAATTGAGAACTGATGAATGATTCTATGGGGATAAAATTTGAAATAAATCATTTTCCCCGGTTCCAGTTGCAACTTTGTCTACAAACTTGTTCTGTAGAATTCAGATTTAATACTTGCTGTACCATAAAGATTCGTTAAAAGTTTTTCGCCTAAGCAGCAGTGTGAAAAATTGATTTGTAATGCAGGTTTACAATTTTAAATAGTAATTATATATTGATTGTTTTATTTGTTCATGTTGACTGGGAACAATTTTACATAAAATTGCATATAATTTTAAAATAAAGTTTATATTTAGTATTAAATGAGATATAAACTACCATATTTATCATTCAAAAGTTTTAAAATGTTTACTAAATTACGTTCATACGAAACTGTTGCGTAATTACTTTTTAACTTATTGTAGGAAAGCTACTTTTCCTTTCAGTTTGAATAATAATTCAAATCAAAAATTTATTAATAACAGAGAATAATATTAAGAAGGAATGATAAAAAAAGGTTAATATGATTAAATCAGAGATCAATAAGCAACTTAAATGTAAATAACTTTATACCTTATATTAATTTTATGCTGATGACAACCTAAGATAACTAGGCATTCTTTGTTTATCAAAAACTACGTCATGTGATTTTTTTTTCTTTTTTGTCCAATGAAAATCTAATAAAGGATACGATGACAATTCATTTTATGGCATATAGGGAAATAAATAGGTGTTGAAAGCATTGCTTATTACAAAAACACATATGTATAAGCATTTTAAAGTACAAAATTACTTTAGAAATGAAGTTTTAGATTTTTTTAAAAACAATTCTTTTAATTTGTAAAAATTATATGGGTTTTGACATATTTAAAAGTTTGCGCTTTAATTTCTGGAGTTTCAAAACGTTTAGTATTTCAATGCATAGTTTAATATATAAAATTCTACAATCTTTGAAATCAATATTGGCTTTAAAGTACAGATATTTTCCGATATTAAAATAATGTTAAACAAAAATATAAATAAAAAATATAATGAATACTTTTTTTACCTTGACTGGAAATAATGATGCTCACCTGGTTTGGCGAGTTATTCTATCGCCAAAGAAGAATAACCCTAGTAGCCAATCATATTTCTCTCATTCGCGCGGTTTGATCGAAAAAAAAAAGTTTCATTCATACAAGTCAAAAGTTGAGTTGAGAACTAGGGAGGAAGATTGTGCTTGTATCCGTTATCCGGTGCCGCCGGGTGCGAAACCGGTGAAAAATTTTTAATATGGGGAGAATTTGCAAACGATAAAAATGGAATACAATTAACGAGGATTAATTATTGTGTTGTGGCAGCAATTTAAATCAGTGTTTTTTATTTGTGTGTGTGAATAATGCCTTTTCGTAAGTGGTCTGTGGAACCGGTGTTCCTTAGCAGAAAACCTCTACCACCGGATAAAAAAAGGGAATTATGTGATTTTGATAGAACCGCAAATTTGACATTTGCAAGTGTTCTACGGCAGTTGGCTTCTGTTGCCAAAATAGCGGATAAAATGTTTGTTGAAATAGCTTGTGAATGTCGTCTGCTGGGTGAAAGGACGGAAAAATTGAAGGAAAAGTTATCTACCTGTCAAAACGTTGTGGATAATTTAAATGCTCGAGCTGTCATAGTTCGTGAGTATTAGATATTAATTTTAAAGTGACTTCTAAATATAAATTTAAGAACCAGGACTGAAAGTGAGATGGAAAAGAGAAAAGAAAAAAACTGGTAGTTAAAGCATTTCAATTATAGCTAGTGTATGGGAAAGAGATAAACTCTTCCTATTTTTAATTAGGAAAAATTCCACGTTATTTTATTTATTTATTTTTTTAATTTATTTTTTTTGCGAGTGAGTAGTGCTATATTTACATTTTATAATATAACTGTTGAAAAATTTTAATGATCATAGATATTTTACTCTTCCTGAAAGAAAAAAATACACGTTAAAATGAAATTATATTCTTACCAGTTTTTTCTCTTTTTCGTCTTTCAATAAATTTCGAGTTCTGATAGGTTAGTGTGTATATTCTTATTTATCGTAAAAGTTTTATATTGTTTTTCTTGGGATGTACTTTGCAAAAGAGAATTGAATTTTAAAAGAAAACATGGCAGCTCTTACTTCATCTTGATTTGTTTAGTTTTGATCATAATAAAAATATTTTTTATTTAACTCACCCAACTATCGCTTAGGTAAGAGCTCGTCCGTCTGCTTTTACTTTTTAACATTAGTTTCCACGGTTTCTCTATGTGACGAAAAAAGTAAATTGGAAAGAAAAAAAAAAGAAATGCAATCGGAGAAAGTTTTTTTTTTTTTTCCACCTTGGAGGAGATGGGGTTTTTTAAATATTGTGAAAAGCATAATTTTGTTTGCATAAAATCTCCCTTCCATTGTCAGGGGAAAAATTAAACTTAGCAATTTTATTTAAAATTCGATTTCTCTCTTATTGCAATTTACAACGTGTTTTATTTGTAGATTTACTGTCGTTTGTAAACACTGCATATATCTCTCCCCACCCCCACCCCCCATTTAACTCACATCGCTAAATTTTGGAAAATCGCTAACTGTTCGATGCTTGAAATATTTTAGAAAGTTTGCATACCCGTGTATATATGTATGTGTTTACTGAAATCAAGCTCATTTTTCATCAACTATATGTTCCTTTTCTTTTACTTTTTTTTAATCCACTATGCTCCTGTTCCTCGTCCCCTTTTTAACAAAATGAGTCGAATCATAGACTAACTTAGTTTATTTTACTGTTTTTTTTAAATTTATTTATTATTATTTGTTTAAATATTTTTGTAACAAATAAGGAGTTTTAAAAAATAGCAAATCTCAACTGTCTTTGGTTACAAAAAATTAGTACGATGGCTCTTTGTGAATTGAAAAGATTATAGAATGGATAAAGAAATTATTGACTTTGCTAAAACTACGCTCTTTTTTTATGCACTACCTATTCCCTCCCCCCTTTCTGTTTGTGAAGCATAAGTAAACATATTTTGCGACGACTTCAATCATAAAAGGCTTTCAGGAACTGGCTGTAACATTTCGATTAAGTAGGAAAAATATTTTTCAATTATTTCTTTAAACATTAAAAACGTATTAATACCGCTACTACCTTCTTTGTTTTTGGATCAATTATGTCCCGATAGAACACTAGTGTTTTTAAACAAAATTTACTAAAACGTGTGGTAATTATTTGAATCACATAAGAGTCTTATAATAATAGAGTTATGCTGGTTATTTGTGTTCCCTCGTTGTATGTAAGAATCCGAAATTTACAATTAAAAGGATTTGAGGAGAATTAATTTCGTATTGCATTTATGGTTCACAGAACTCAGGAGAAAATAATAAATATTTTAACCAAGTTCTGAACATAACAAACAAAATAAGATATTTTCAATTCATAATAGTTATTGAAGTGAGAAAATATCAATTTTTAAAGTTTTTAAATTAGAGTGGTAGTTCAAAAAGAATTTTAATTTGTTTTAGTGCCAAATTGTTTTTTTTTTCTGTGTTGTAGAAAGAAATTCTAATTCCTAAACTCATACCTGCCAACTTTTGAGAATGGTTTTCCCCCAGTGGTACAAAATTCGAATTTAAATTGCAATTTCATTGCTGCCAACTTCTAATCCCTTCCATTATCATTTTTCCCAGTGGTATTAAAATGAAATTAAAACTTCAATTTTAAGCAAACAAATACGTTGTATTTGAGAAAACTTAAGTTGACAACCATGTTAGCAACGCATATTAATATATCTGCGTAATTTTTCTAAGAATAGTGGTGATTAAAATCATTAAAAAAGTGGTAGACGAATCCTGGTATCCTTAGTGGCAGACGAATCCTGGGTTAGTATCCCCTTGGCATCAGGCTAACCATGGGAGGTTTTCGTGGTTTTCCTCTCCATGTAACGCAAATTTGGGTTAGCTCCATAAAAAAAGGTCCTTCACGAAGGCAAATTCTCTCAATAACTGATCCAGCAGTTCCCTTGTCTTCTGGATTGGATTCAAAATTACAAGGCCACGAAGTTAAACATTAGCCTTCGTAAACTCAAAAAATTGGATTGGTTGTTCAATGACGGTTTATAAAATAAAATGTTAATTATGTTTTTTTTTTTAAATTTAGGAGCAATTTACTTTTTAAAAAAGGGGGGGGGGAAAGAACAGAAAATGCCCATTTTAAGTTTATTTTATTTAATGGAACACGCATTTTTAGATACATGCTATACCTATTTTGTCATATGATTTGCAAAAACATTTCGAATTATGTTTCATTTTGTAAAAAGGGCCTTTATAGATGTACCCATTTGTCAAACGCGGATTTCACACACTATGTTAAATTTTTAAGCGCTTAATTTCAGCCATGTTCAAAACAAAAAATTCACCTTCAATTTGCTTGCAAACTATGTGCCCCATATTCGGGAAACAGGAAGAAAAACATTGAAGTAGAACTTTTCTCTCGTCAACGTGTTACAAACGTTCTTTTATTTACATTGAGTAACCCTNTAATATAGGTCACCATTTATTTAGAAATCGCCTTAAAAACTCTTCACTTTCATGTCTTATCATCTGATAAATACAGTTCTGTATGTTTACTTTTCGTCAACGTGTTTATAAATTTTTAAAATGTCAGCCACTTAAAGTGTTGCCTTGTTTGTTGTTTTTTAATACTTGTATAATCAGATAATTCGAAACATTTCCGACGACAATGCTTAAATGTGTCAAATATTGTTCACAAGCATTGTGATATGATTAAATAAATATTTAATAACTACGTTAGGGTTAATTTTATAACTGTCGTTGAACAACCGACCCAATTTTATGGGTTTACGACTACTAATGTTCAACTCCGTAGCCTTGAAATTTTGAACCCAATCCAGAAGACAAGATAAATCCTGGATCGAGTAGTGGCAGAAATTTGCCTTCGTGGAGGACTTTTTGATGGAGCTAACCCGCATTTGCGTTACATGGAGAGGAAGACCACGAGAACCTCGCAAGGTTAGCCTGACGGCAAGGGGACTCTAACTCATGATCCATCTACCACTGAGGATATTTCGCTTCAGCACTGTGGTCGGTGCAAGCCGGTTGCGGAATTCGTATCGACTGGGATTCGAACCCGGTTAGCCGCATTGGAAGGCGAAAGCTCTACCCCCTGAGCCATCGCGGCTCAGTTTAGTTTAATTGTCACCATTTAATTTTTTTAATTGATTTTTTTTTTGTGTGTGAAAACAATAAAACTTAAATTAGGGATATGCTAATGCACAGGAGTTGCGCCATCTATAAGAAAACAGAACAAAAAATAATTCTTCCTTTTATTAATTTTTTTCTAATAATATAAGAAATATAATATAATATAAAAAATGAAAAGTAGTTGTAAAAAAATAAAATAAATAAGAATATTAACATATTTATTTTCTTTGTTAACTTTGTACCAGCTGCACTAAAAGCAGCGGCTATAGAAATTTTTTTTTAAATATTCCGCAGACTCCTTTACAATAACATCATACGTCACCACTTTGATATTAAAAATTTTAGAGTCTTGATATTTTGTTGCCTCATTATTTTATTTTTATTGGTAGTTATGTAGTAACATTGCATCAGATAATTCATTTCACTTAATGCTCACATTAATTTAGTACTTTCAATGGAAAAGCCCTTGAATTTATTTTCATTTAAAACGTTCACGGCTGGGTGACCCACCGGTGGGTCACGCTGGATGGTCTCATCGGGCGGCCCACCGGAGTAAAAACTGGTAACAAATAAATTTCATTTTTTTTCAGTTTTTTTCCGGGAATAACAAAAATCTATAACTACCAATTGTTTTTAACGGATGCAACTTTTATATTGAATTGCTTTTTCGCTGTGATAAATTTCCTTACAGTGAATTGTTATTATTGAGAATAGATATTATATTCTCCCGAATATTATCTAACATTGAAATAGATCTTCTACCAGTATTTTCTCTTTTCCGTCCCGCTTTCAGGCGCAACATCCGGCGTGAACGTGTTAAGTATTGGGAAAAATTTGCTTTCGTGGAGGACTTTTTGACCCAAAAGCTCTTCGTTCTTAAAAGAATAATGATTGATAAACGTTTTTTTTTCTTCAAGCAATTAATTTTACATTTCTAGTAGTGTGTCTAGCATTTGTTGAATTAGTGTTGCTAGACTGGCCACACTACACCGGAAAGGGTTAAGCAAATAGAATTAAAAAAATATTCCATGTATATGTATGTTAGTTTAGCAAGAGAAAACTAATAGAGTAAAAATTTGTCATAGGATTGGACTGGGTCATGATCTAATTGTAGTCTATTTTTAATTGTTACAAATGAGGCCGAAAACGTTCTTTCTTATAATTTATTTTCGTACGGATCGTTTGCGCTTACTTTACTTAATTGAGTTGAGATTAAATCGATACCCCTACCCATTCTTCTCTCTCTCTCTTTTTTCTTATTTTTTTTTTCATAGCTTAAGTTACCGTTTCTCCTTCCATTGCTTATAAATCTCTTGCTCTGATTTTTTTTTTATATGTGTATATATTTAATAATAATACCATACCCACAGCTGTCAAGGTTTATGGCCACTCTGTAAAGTTTGATTTTAATATTTAAAATGTCAACAAACTTTGCATTTTCTTTTA